ATACATTTGCTCTCAGTCCTTCCAAATCATTTGCTGGATTCACATTCATACGATCTTTTAGACCCTGCATAGCCTATTTTTGCGTTTTCTGGTCCTAAACCAACATTAATGGGTTAGCTTAGTGTTGCACAGCTTTTGCCAGTTGTTTCAAGCATGAAAGATACAAAGGGAAAGATATACGGCAAAGTTAGTAGGGTGGAAGCAAAAAGTTCACATGACTACTAATAGAATGGCATTCAAAGCCTCGTGGCTAATTTCTGCTTTAATTTTTAAGAGGCACGTTCTGCTCCTAAATCATCTCACTGATGCTTTATCTCTACCAACAGTACTAGAGGTCAAAAGTAATAATCTAATTACTAACAGACTGCCCCTTGTCTAGGCCAGTGTTGGGAAATTCAAAGCACTGTGCCTCTTTTAAGCTACCATATCCCTACTCTTTGCTCAGACTTGGGACATCTTAAATGCTTCAATATGGTTTCCACAGAACAGTCCTTACAGTCTTAGGACTGTCAGATCATGAGTCAGGGTGACCTTTAAAGCAGGCCTGGGGAGAAGTTGCGACTTCCTGGCACCTCCATGAATAAGCAAGCCATTTGGTGCCAAGCTCCAAAAAGCCATTATTTTTCTCTGTTCTGGGCCCCCATAATCTCCAGAAATTAGGACGGTGAAACAGTTTATAACCATCTATATTGTAGCATGGCCATTTTACTAGGCACTATACAAACATAACAAAGATCTTACCCCAGAGAGCAGGGGGTAAACTCATCTGGCCCTATCAGCTGGATGAATGGGATGGGCCCAGCTCCGTAGGCCAGATCAGGCCAACAGACACCCCCACCACCCACTGCACACCAAATCCAGCATCCCAACTCAACAATCCTGGAGTCGGGAGAGTGGATGTTGGATGCAGCACAGTGGGGAAGGAGGAAGAGGGGGTGGAGGTGTCCTGGACTGGACCCACACACAGCACAGGTCACGGAGCAGGCACTGCATGTCCCAGACTGGCCACGGTGGGCACCTTGTGCGTGTCCCAAATGATGGGGCTCCATGGCTGGATCATGCCCACAGGCCATATCTTTTGACACCCTGCTATAAAGAATTTAGATCAAGTAATGAAATGATAGTTTCCTTTATTCTTCTAGCTTAGGTATTTACATGGCACTTGTGATCTTACTATTCATGAACCTTAGAACCAAATTTACTTTCACAATGTCCCCACAAGGGAGGGAGTTCTTACCCATTAAGGGCAGGAAATTGATGTTGAAAGAAATTAAGTCACTCTGAATCATATAGGAAACCAAGAGCAGAGCAGGGAAATGGAACAGGGTCTCCTCTGTTTCTCCCAGCACAACACAAGCCACTTCCTTTCATGAGTGAGCAGCATTTGAGAGCATTAGCCAGCTTTTGTTCTCGATGACAAGAATTTAGTGATTTACCTCTTAACCATAAAAATCACCATGATGCACTCCGAATGTCAACTCCATTTTGCAGTTCGTCTTTAGCACTTATGGAACTCAAAATTGATGCCATCAAATGACCTCTATGAGATTTCAGACCAGTTTTAAGTTTAACTTTTTTTGTCGTCGAGATTTGCTGGACACGAGTTGGCTGCTGAATCCTCCTCTGGAGCACCACTAGGCCTGTTGAACTGAGTTTTACCAATTTGCACCTCTCCATCTTTCTATGAGCCCAAACACCCTACAGTTTTCTTCCTTCCTCTTCTGCCTGTTGAATCCAATGTGGTATAATGTTGAAAAATATTTTTACACAATGATAATTTTGTCCTCTTCCTCCCTTCCTGCCCAAAAGTTTGTCAGCAGAGACTGGACCTCTTCAGATAAGTGCAAATGACTGCCCTCTTTGAATATGGCTGCTTTCCTTCCACTGTCTTCAAATGGGACTAAATCCAGATTATCCCCTTAGAAAATGGTAGCCAACTATTGTCAGAATGCATGGCAGAACACTGAGGAATAGTTAAATGAGGGGACAGTAGTTTTTGGCCACAGCATCCTGTGGCATCAGTCCCACAGAGAAATAGGAATACCCATCTTTGTGGAAGGCTGGGTCAATGTTGCCCCCCCATTGCAGAAAAACTTTCAGGTAGAATGGAAAGTAGTAATTGTTTTAAAAATTAATTCTTCAAATGTAGCCTATATACAATTATTTCAGTGAGCTTTAGCCACATGGGAAGTTTACAATGTGTTCCCCAAGATTGTTATGGAATGCCAAAATCTAATGAGGTATTCAAATTACCTTTGAAGGCCCTTAAAAAGCTAAACTTTCAACCCCTAAAAACAGTGTACTTAAAGAAGCTTCAGAAAGTGTATTCTACAAAAAAAAAAAAAAAAACCTCACCATGTGCTGTTACTCTTTGAACAGAGGCAGAATTACTGCTTTAAGAGCAAAGTGCAGTGTTCATGATGATGTTTCAAACTGACATCTATTATGGAGGCACCAGTTTCATAAGCATTGCACAAGTCTCAAAATTGTAAAAAGGAGGCAACTAGAAGCAACATCCTTTACGGCAGGGGTTCTCAAACTGTGGGTCACGACCAACTTAAAAAAAAGGAGCCGCAAACTTCCCAGGGGGTACGCATGGCTGTGTGGAGTGGTGGATGGCAACAGTGGCTGCTGCGTGCGAGCTCACCGTCCCTTGCCGCCATCCAGCACTCAGGGTTGTGGTATCACAAAGTTTGAGAACCTCTGCTTTAGAGCAAAGGTATTTCATGCTGCTATTAACTATAGATGATGACCATTCAGTTATTTTCTGTATTAAAGATTTAATCATCTTGAGATTATAACAGGGAGGCAGTTAAGTGTCTGTTATTTAGATTTGGAAAGTGCAAAGTACAGTGAGTGCTGGTTCATGAAATGGCTCTTTACTACTGCAGCAACAAAGCAAGCCACAGCTATTATATTGTAATATTACCACCATTCCTATTATATAAGGCAGGGGTTTTCAACTTTTTTTGGTCAGGGTACCCCCAGTGACCGGTTAAGAAGCAGGAGGAGGGGTTCCCTGGCAGCCAGTCGCAGCAGGGAATCCTTAAGTGCCAGTAGCTTCTCCACACTGCTGCTACATACCCCCTGGAGCCTTCCAATGTACCCCCAGGGGTATGTGTACCTCCCCACAGTTGAAACCACACACCCCCCAACATAAGGGATGCACAACATCTGCAGGTTCCATCTTAAAAAAAAAAAGTTAGTTCTGAATTTAATTTCAGAGTAAGATAAGAACCACTGCTTGACACTGTCCTCTAATTTCAGGTACCAAACCAGATCAAGGCTTTTCAGGCTACCAAGGATTCACATAGCATTTCAGTACCAAAGTGTGACAGCTGAGAATGGGGCATTGGTATTTATTTGCAAAGCTGCTTCCTTTTTAAAAGTATGGTCATTAATATTGAAAATGAACTGGGGGAAAAAAAAAAAAGTAGTATGTGGAAGTAAAATAGAAGGTTAAGTTAAATTGGCTCTCATGGCATTTATACAGGAGCTAGGATCTCTGGGAATAAGGAATAGTCTAAAAAGTAAATTTGTTGCAAAAAACATTAGGAAACAGTATACCAAGTGATAATCCTGGATCTGATCTGGTTTCTCAGAAGAGACCACCTGTATACAAGTCATTAAATCTCATATTTCAAGAAATATCTTCTAATTTACGTATCAAATAGCAAAGATAAAAGGCCTGACTTATTGGAGATTGCAATCATCAGATTCAAATAAAATCCATGGTCTTCAGCACCTCTAAAAATATGGTTGTAGGTTTCCAAACTTGAGGCCCTCCTTTGAAAAAAATCTAGCTTCAAAACACGTGAACTGCAGAGCAACACCTATCTTTGCAGTTCTGATACAAGTTTCAAAAAAGCAGAGGGCAGATTGAAGCCACTCAAGTGTTTGGCTTAGAAAGGAAAAATTACACCCCCACAAGTCTCACTGTTTTGTTTTGTTTTTTTTGTAGGGCTTAACTATTCTGGATATTTGAGACTGGTAACATCAACTACTTCACAAGGTACGAGAAGAGTAATATTTTCAGGGCTTTGACACTGGGCAGAACCCTGAAAGTAATAGCTAACAATCACTTGATTTAAGGAGACTGTAGTTTATAGCCCAATTCTGCCATATGCATCTCAACAAGTAGCTCTTTATTTCAGGAGAACTTCTACCATCAGCAAAATAACCTGTACTACTGGTTAAATTCCTTTCTATCTACTGAAATTCCTTCTGCCATTTGGAGGGGTATGGTATTTTTAATCCCACCCTGGTTCAATATTTAGATTTGTTGTATGCTCTTGAACAGCTGTTGAATTCCACAAATGGCACCACTTAAGCTAGGGGTGGGTGAAGGCATTTTTTACATAGAGAATGGCCCCTGAATGCAAGGTGCTGTATGACTAAATTCATCCTCATTCAGAGTCTCAGAAGGTTATACTTGTAACAGAGCCCCACTCACCCACACAGTGAAATTGAGATCATTCTGATCCAAGTACTTGATGCTTCCTATGCATCTTGTGGCAATGCCAGAAGTTTCTAACCCATGTTTCTGACTAGCAAGTCCCTGCTCTGAAGAAATGGACACACTTACTGACAGTTATATAGCTGCAATAAGGCATGTGGCACCTGCCAAGCCAGTTTCACCAGTTTAGAACATTGAGCCTGCAGTGTTCAGAACAAGTCACCTGTTAAACTGCCCAGCATTTCAAGCAGAAACATCATTTATAGAAAAAAAGAGACAACGTAGTAAAGATGTATGCAGTTAACACGCTGGCATTTCCTTTGATTTTACTGCTGACAAAAGGTAGAGACTGCATTAACCCATGAACAGAAATAGGGCAAAAAAGAGGCACACTGTCTATCTTGGAACACCAAGTTAGACATTACAGAGAAAAAGAATAGCTCATGTTTGTCTTTTCACTTACAAGGGATGCTCTAGCAGCAGAAACTGCTGGGAGGGAGAGAGGTGAAGCAGCAAGGTTCTCTTAGCCAGAGGAACATCTTACCTGAATAGCCTGGCGTCCTTGCTGAGCGTCCGCTAGCAGCTGGATGGTGAGGGTTCTTGAATCTTGAAGGGCATCTTGGAGGTAGATAAAACTATGACCTACATGTCGTCCCATAGTACATTCCCGGCAGATTGGGACAGAACAAGTGTCACAGTAGAAATGCAGCACCTGAAAGGGAGTATACAAAAAACCATATGATAGTGAACCAAGCCGCAGTAAAGAAGAGAGACACTACTATAGCTAAACAAGGAAGAGAGGCGGGGGTAGTAGTGATAAGGGGTGTTTGCAATACCAGCAGTTTCCATGGGGGAGGGAGGGGAGAGCTGTCTCTTGTAAGGGGCCAATCAGCTGGACAAAAGTAAAATGAAAACATTAGTTTTTTTTGCAATACAATATCAGGGGGAAAAACACAAAACCAACTCACTAATCCACCCCATTCCCCTCTCAAGAACAGAAACCATCTGCCAGCACTCAGATTTGGACATGCCATCTACTACATGCAAGAAGTAATTTGAAGCATACACAAGCATTGTGCACACAGATACTAAACCATTTAATTTTGTATAGTGCAAGAATAATAATTACTATCAGGGCAACATAAATAAGACTAAAAATCCAAGGGTAATCATCCCACTAATTTTTCAGTCTATTGACAGGACAGAAGATCCAAGGCAAGGACAGATTGGATGCAAGTGTTTACCTTGCATCACTTTTCAGTCAAATGTGGTATTGAGGACAGAAAATTTCAACAATCCTCCCATGCAAACCAGCACCTTAAGGTGTCAGTGGCAGTTCTAGGAAGAGCTCGTATAACAGAAGTTGAAGAATTTTAAAACGGAAACAGAACTCCATTTTGACCAGTACCGAACACGGACAGCAAGTGCTCACATGGCACCCAAAGTTTCACCTTAGATTAGTGGTTCTCAACATTTTAGACTTAAGATACCTCTACATATGCTTGAGGTACCCCTTGGAAAGGGCCAGCTCTTGTTTTTTCTATAGGCAAAAAAGTAAAAGAGCCATTTTCTTGTTGCAAAGAACTCTGAAAGACCACTATGGATTTCAATTTGGCACCCCACAGCACCTTGAAAGGCACTCAAGGCACCCCAGAGTGCTGTGGCATACCTAGTTGAGAATCATTGCCCCTATAACCTGAGTAACAGCTCAGAAAGTCTCATTCACCCCTCCCTTTTGCTAAGGCCAGATATGAATTCTAGTTTAATCAGCAACTTGTACTACTGAATTCCATCCAGCAGAGGGGAAAATATATATATGGCTGGGAAAAGACAGTCTGTGGAGGAGTGCAAAAGCCACCATAATTTGAGAATAAAAGAGGTCAGAATGAAAATCTAACTCCACACCTATATATAGAATTCTTGAAGTAAGAACCCACCAAAAAAGTCTAATACTACAAGAATGTTTTTTGTTTTTTTTTTTTTATCAGCAGCAGCAGCTGATTTCAGAGGAATGATTCAAAACCCACAGAAGAACATGGAGCACATGGAAGATTTTGGGGCAAACACTGTACCAGATAACACGAGAGGCCAAACATCCCAATTCTTTTCCTGTTAAGTCCAACACCTGATCAAATACACCAGGAGACTAGATTCAGAACTCCACAGTGAGTGTGTGCGTGTATGTTAAAAAGCACTCTCCCGCCCAGATATCCCCCTACTCCCAGAGGCATCCAAGAAGATGGGTTAAAATTCTCAACACAAAAAGGTTTTAATAAAAATAGTATTTTAAAGTGTTAACTTAAACAGATTGTTCCACTAGAAGAATCAGACTCAAACCTCTCTGCATCTACATGAAAAATTTGGTTGTTTCAGACATTCCTAATCTTAAATATAATTTTATACATACATACATACAAGAAGTTAAACGTACACACAATGGAGGGAGGGGGTTACACACTTTCAGAACTGCTTTAAAAATTTCCAAATGTCTTCCACTACAAAAAAAAAAATCCTCCTCCATGTATGGCATGTCTGTATGAATTGGTATACTGAACTGAACTCTCCCCCCCATTTGGTAATTTTCAAAATTACAAGGAATATACATTATGTATTGCTCGACTACAGCTTTAACTATTAAAAGGTAATGAGGATGAGAACTTGAATCTGTTATCCTTTAAAACATGCAACAGAAATTGTGCATCCCAATCAAGGAGGGAAGTTAAAGAAAATGGGAAGCACAAGAGCCAGAGTCCAGCAAGTTAAACCTGCCATTAGTTCTCTGTAACAGTCAACGCTGGAAGCAAAGCTAGGGCAAAGGCCAGGCAACGATCCTGACAGATCCAAATGCTACTGCTGCAAGAACACAATGCAGAATATTGGAATTATTCAGCTGCTCAAGCCACAGACAGTGAAGCTAACCAGCCTTCTCCCTCCATCCCCCAAATGAATATAGATGAACATTCAGTGGTTGAATTTTAAAATATAAGTCATCTCATCCTGTAGTTATATTTCAGAGTTTCAAGTTACATATGGAGTGTCTTAAAATCTGGAACCAAAACTGATAATCCTACTTTAGTGAGTAAAGATGTTGACTGACAGCATTTGCTTCTCCATATTCCTTCTCAGAACTTTACTCCTATGTTCAACACCATCTACCTAACCCTGTAAGTCTTACAGTAATTCAATCCTTGTAGTTCAAAATAAAGTGTCTTTGTTTGGTTCTAAATAAAGAGAGACCAAGGTATAAAAATCCTCAAATGAAGACCTTGCACCCAAATGCTGTACTGAACAGATGTACAAAAGCTGATTCAGGTGTGTAAAGAACCCCTCATTCAAATACCTAGAGCAGCAATTCACAACTATTATGCCACACGTTAGCACTATTAAGCATGCAAGCAATTCAAAACTCAAAATCCAGAGACTTCAAACAAAACAGGAATCCAGTGTTAAAACATTCTGGCCTGCTGGTGTTGTTAAGCTCCTTGCAATGGAAGAATTGCTTTATTAGTAAAAAATGAATGAAAACTAAAGAGCTAATATTCTCGAAAGAGTACTTTGAGTCTAAAGGAGACTGAGAACCTCTAACCTAGAGCAGTAGACTGAAATGAAGAGGAGTCCAGGACAGTGGTTCATGGAAGCAAGTTAGTAGGTAGTATGCACCCAAAATAAAAATCAGAGAGATCAGTTTGTTGCAATGCTGCAGGTCAGATACTGGACTGGTGCACTGTCTAGATTGACCCCACAGAACAGCTCCCTACCTCCCTGTTAGATCCAGTACATGCAACACTCCTCCCCCACCCTCAAGTCTGGGACTGTGCCATACATGGTGCATGCCTGGACACATGTGTGTGTGTGTGTGTGTGTGTCGGGGGGGTGATATAGGCAAGTCCAGGACCCAAACTGCTCACTGAGCCCTTTCTGGCTGGTCCATGGAACCTATACCGCAGTGCCCATGGGATCTGTGCTACCCCTACCCACTGCTGTCTAGGATGCATGCTACACAACAACATGCTGTCCTGGGGCGGGGTACTAAAAAAAAAAAAACACACCTTTTCTTAAAAACTAAAAATGTTATAGGACCGTGCTTATTGGATTTAAGGATTGGTTCTCTAAGTTTATTAGCCATCTGTCCTCCTCTATAGTATTCAAGTATAAAAATTCCCCATAGACACCTTAAATACGCTATTCTACATTTGTTTAAAAATCTGGGCAATTTAGAATTTGATTATAAGACTTTACGTATATGTACAAAAAGTATATCAGTAAGAATTTCACTTTGTCAGTACTTTCCAAAAGGACCTTTGAAGCTTTCAAAAGGAAAACAGTTTAAGAAGGAAGAAAGGAAAGGAATATTTTTAGAGGTCTTAAGAAATGATTTATTCTGAAAAGAAATTAAACTATGGGTTGATTATTTCCCAAACAGGAAATATTTCCTGAATTGGTGGCATACTATTTTAAAACACAAAACAATAAAAAGGAGCCTGCCGCAATTTAAACAGAGTCAGTCAACCATATTACAGGGCTATCCATCTTTTACAGCCACAGAAGCCCAAGAAATACGACAGCAAGGCCGTAAATGTGATTGCTTCAGGAAAGGCTGTACAGTGCACTGTAAAAACATTTTACAACAGCAGGAATTCCTGGGCGTCATTCTCCCCGTTTTTGGTCCATCTGCTTTCAAAGGAGAAAGGGGGATGGGCAGAGATGTTGTTAAACCTCCCCTGGGATTCCATAGCAATCAATCAGCATCTGATGAATGGCCACTGAAGTTAAACTCTGACCCGACTCTACATTTCCCACACCAGTTCTCCCCTCCTTACTGTTGACCAGCTTCCAGAATACCCCACCCACCTTCCTCCCCTGACCAAAATTTCCCAAATACCAGGCACAGACAAAAGCAGTGGAATGTAGTAGCCATTATGAGCGAGGAAAATTCAGTGAAAACAGCAGCAAAGGAGACCTTTCCTTAAACTCTGTTTAAATAATGGCCTTTCAACCTCTTCCTCCTCCAAGCTCATACTGAACATTCACATTTCAATTTGTCAAATATTTTTCTTTTCATGTTTGTGATTGCACATTGATGCATCAAAAAGTGGGGGGCAATGCATTGTGTGTGCATGCACACACATTTCAGTTGTAGTAATGCAATATTATTTACAAAAGATACTTACAGAGTATACAGATGAGATTACTTTAGAAATAAAACCTACAACATTCAGAATTTGTATAGGGGACACCATATCTGAAGCCAAACATCTTCACTGCTGTAATGTTTACACTTTCTCTTCATATGACCTTGGGTACTGTGCAAAAATACATAATGAACAGCAAAGATAAAAATTCAGCACTGTTTTACACTATGTTTGTGTGCAAGAGAAAGATCTGGCCATGGAAGTTTGACACAAATGCAAAGCCGGTCAGCTAGTACCATTGTCTGGGGGGCACAGGAGAGACTCCCCTACCAAATTCTATGTGGGAGCTCAGCTTTTACAAAGGTATTACTCATCAACCTTTGACTAAAGAATAGCCAAGATGTCATCTGACTTTGTTGATGGCGATCATTTTGGAGAGTGGCTTACTATTTTTACTATGGGTACACAGTGGGCAGCATCAGACAGTAGATTAAACTCCATTCCTCTTTACAAAGGCAGGTTAGCACAAAACTACATTTTCCTTTACTTCTTTAAAAAGAAAAAGAAAAAAACCAA